TATAGACACTATAGGCGACGGTTACCACTTTCCATTAGGTGTACCGTCAGCTTGTTTGAAAGGCTGGGATCTACACGGCGATTATTCTATATAGTTCCCTGTTATAAATATTTAAATGTGTCATGCTGTTTATCTGCGAACATACAATTGAAAAACATTACTTTTTCTGAAGCAGTCGAGTAACTACGAAACCATCATTTCAAATTAGTCGGTGTTACCATAAAGCTTTCGTTCGTGTGCGTAGTCATGGTATTCTGACCGTGTACTCTCCCCATGAGCACGTATTCAACAGCTGAATAAACTATTTTTAATAGTATTTATATATTTATTCTTTATTGAACATATTAAAAAAATAAAAATTCCTAGTATGTGGTAGACAGGTTTTTATAGACATTTTTTCTTCTAATTACTGCCTTTTGCCTGTAACTTAGTTTGTGTGCATTTTAGAAGTAGATAACCGCTTCTAGAAACGTGTTAAGATAAAAAAAGAAACATCAGATTTTAAATTACGCCTTCAAGGACAAAACAGCATTTAATTTAAATTTACTATATATATAAGTGCTGCATAATCATATTAATCGCTTGCTCTTCAAACTAAGATACGCTGTGGTATGATATACCAGACAGCGAAAACTTGGAAGCAGAACTCAAAACATTTACACCATAGCTAGTGGGGGGAAAGGGATTGTTAGCAATGGAGTTTGACAGCCCCATTGTTAGCAATTTGCCCTATTAGGTCGACCTCCACGTGGTTCCCTCTGGAAACTATCGTGAGCAATTCTTATTGAATTCGTCACGACGAGCTAACTGACCTGCTTCATCCTCACCTATCATCCTTCACTGATGCCCCACCGGTGTATACCGTTAGCGCGGGTTGGGTTATCACCATTCCATTATCACCCATTAAAAAAAACCCTAGCCAGTTTAGAAAAATTCATTTCATATATTCGCTCTATCGAGAATCAAATCTGGAGCCACTTTTACTCAACGCCACTCGCTTATCACAGCGCCACGGAGATCGTTGAATACGTCTTCGTAAAATATTTAATTTTTTAATCTATTTTTTAGTAACAAATACAGTAATAACTATACAGGTAATTACTGTATTTATCAAGAGACCATTAGGGTCGATACTGAGACACCATTTCTCTCTAAAATTAAAATTTTAATTATATATCAAAGCGATCTTTATTGTAAGGACCAATATAAACTATTTTTCTAATAAATTTAAGTCTATTATAATTTCACTATATGTTAATCCATTAAAAAGTAATTTCACGAAATAATCAAATTAAAATATTAGGTTAAAAGATTAATTTAGACATATGACATTTCAGAATGGACGCCATTGTTCTATAAAATGGCGCGTAAAACTATAAAACTAGTATTATGCCAACATTCCCACTAGCGCCGCCCGCGCGCCATAACGGCATTTGAATATCGAATCGAATCGTCAAAATATTTACACAGCATCAAGCAACAATGCGTGATTAAAATGTGCGTACGTTGTTCACGTTGGAACACAAAGAAAGTTATTATAGACTATTGTTGCCGAATGGCGTATATGAGTTCACAATGCTAAGGGCAGCCAGTGACTTTAGATTTATTGTGTTTATTGTGGGTTACAGTTTGGTTTTTTTTTTATACAACTTAGAATGGCAAACAAGCTGACGGCCCACCTGATAGAAAGTGGTAACCGTCGCCTATAAACATGAGCAGTACCATGGACATAACAGAATATACTGTTTCGCCCATGATACCTTAAGGTTGCCAGATATGATTTTTTATTTTTATCCAATAGTCAAATATTTTTCTTTAAATCGATGTGCATTCGATTGCAGCTTTACTTTTACCTAATCATAAAATTATTATGCGACTATTTTCACTACATTTTACCACGTAACAAAACGAAGGACGAAACCCCCTTTCTATATTTAACAACTCCTCTTACTCTCTGTTTTGCTCCTTTCATTAATGTTTTTGATATGTTTATACTGTATATTGATGTATAGTTCGCAAATACCGTAACTGTCAAAAAATTTTCTAAATTTTTTATATCTCTAAAATTTTGTAAACATTTTTTTACTGTTTAAGAAACAAATTGGACATCTGGCAACACTGATATTATGTCACAATCTAGAGTGGTCGTTTGAGTATAATTCGCCTTACGCCCGATGCAAGCGCAATGATATCGTGCAAGGAGAAATGCTCGTTGCATTGCATTGTTGATCTCGATTCTGCCGGCAGTTCGACATCTATATTATATCGGTCCGTCTGTTTGTAGTTGGCACTCATATTTTATTAAATTCATTTTTTTTTATACAACTTACAATGGCAAACAAACTGACGGCCCACCTGATGGAAAGTGGTAACTATCGCCTATAGACGCATGTCATAGTACCATGGACATAACACATAACAGAGTATACTGTTTCGCCCATGATACCCCCCATGCGTTGCCATTCCTGGGGACTCAAATGTTATTCCTCTGTACCCAGTAAATTCACACCATATCCCACCCTTCAACCCGAAACACAGCCATGCAAACACAACTGCTTCACGGTAGAAACACGAATGGGACAGAGGTATCCGAGCAATCGACTTTTGTACAAAGTCTCCCTCTGGTCAAAGTCACATTCTATATTATATGCAGCGGATATAACACTGAAAGGCGTTCTCTACTGATGAACTACGAAGCAAACAAAGTTGTTGTTGCTATAATTGAAAAATCAAAAATAAAAAAAATATTTAAATATACATATATCTACTGTCACGGCTGTCTCGCAATATATTATGGACCAAATAAAAAAAAATGGAATTTTATTTTATCTCATATTTATATATTTATCGTTTATATCCCGCGGCTCTACCCACATGAATTTAGTACATACTTCGGATTTGCTGGAAGAAAACTGTATTAGAGTTAAGCTCGCCTTTGTACATTTAATTACCTCTGTCATATTTTTATAACTGGTGTGTACAATAAAGAATTAAATAAATGAAGAAATAACAATATTCTGTATGCTAACATAGGATATAGAGGGGAAAGGGATTGTTAATAATGGAGACTGAGAATCCCATTGCTAGCAATATACCCAACCAGGTAGACCTCCTCGCGGTTCCCCCTGGAAACTATCATGGTTAATTCCTGATGAATTCATCATGACGGGCTAACTGGCCTGTTTTCATTCTCATCTATCACCCTTCACTGGTGCCCCGCCAGCGTATCCCGTTAATGCAGGCGGGGTTACCATACCATTGTCACCCATCAAAAATAATAAACTAAGGATATAACATATCCGTGTACTACATTTTATTCGAATCCGTTTAGTAGTTTTCGCGTGAAAGAGTAATAAAACATGTATCCATCCATCTTATTGTTGTATACAAGCTGACGGCCCACCTGATGGAAAGTGGTATGATACCTATATACGGTATTGATATCACCTATGCCCATTATATATATATATATATATATATATATATATATATATATATATATATATATATATATATATATATATATATATATATATATATATATATATATATATATGTATATGTATATAAGATATATATATTAAGATAGTTTCGTAATGGTAACCATAGGTTGTTACTAGCAACAGCGCAAATAAATGAGCTCACGCACAGCGGGGGCTGTTCCCTCTGGGAAATCATGGCCGATGTGTGACGCCGCATTTGCTTTATTATCTGCCCACTTTATTCCTTGTACGTGTTAACTGCGTTTATTTATTTATTTATTTTACTAACTGAGTGGGCTTTACAATGTCCCAAAACGTTCATCCAAGCGGAAGGGATTTTTAGAAATGCGGACTACCAGTCCCATTGCTAGCAATATACTTAACAGGTCGACCTCCACGTGGTTCCCCCTGGAAACTATCGTGCTGGATTCCAATCACGATAGGAAAACAGATTTGCCTTTTCATTCTCACCTATCATCGCTCACTGGTGCCCCGCCAGCGTATACCGTAAGCGCAGGTGGAGTTACCATTCCATTATCATCCATTAAAAAAAAGTATACCTCGACGAGGTCGACCTCTACACAGTTCTTCCTTGTATACCGATAACGCAAGCTCACAAGACCAGCATCTTATTTTTACTCATTAAAAAAAAAAAACAAGCAAGGAATTAAAAAAAGACATAACTCCGTATATTAATGTACTTTTATTTTTAAATAAATATAACCAATAACATTTATTACATCACAGGAGCAGGGTATCGTAAAACACAATTCAAGTTTATTACAGATGCGCAACACATTTTCTATGCAAACCATAGACAAATTAAAAATAAAATGGCAATTCCACATATTGTCTATGGTCCGTTAGAAACGACCACACATATGCCTTAAATTCAATTGACATCCCTTACATATAAATAAGTATAACTAGTAAAATATATTTCATTAATTAAATTAATACTTACTTATTTTGTTTGAACGGCATATTAAATACAGTGGGTAAGTTTTCTGTTTAAAATTCTCTGTAAGCATTTTAGGCCGTTAATTTGAAAAAGGAATTACGTGTTAAAAAGAAAATATTGGATAAATACTTAAAAAAATATCTCTTCAAACGATCATGACTGAACTGGGCTTATAAATGATACTATTAAATAAAAAAAAAATTAATTCGATTAAGTATTATTATTATTATGTTTAAGTACTTAAAAATACAAAAGAGGACAGTTCTATTATGTAACTGGCATTCATAAACTATTTATTTTTTTTATTGTTATCGTTTTCTCTTTGTAAATATTATTCGTTGTTTAAGCCCACATCAAATTAGTTTAAAAAAGAGATAAAATAATGATTTTTAATTTGTGCTTAAGATTTTTCAAATAAATAAGTAAATAAGCGCTTATAAACTTTCTTAAACTTTTGTGGCTGATATTCAATCTATGTTGAAGGTAGTAAAGTCGACAGGACAAATATGTTTTACAAGATTCCAGGTTTAGTACTTATATATATATATATATATATATATATATATATATATATATATATATATATATATATATATACTTCCTATTCATTATATTTTACCATCGGTTTTTAATTTATTAGTGGTTTTTTTTTTGAGACAGTTTATTATTGGTTAACAGAGTATACTTTTAATGAAAAGTCTACCTTACATTGTTGTATTAAGTACTAAAGTAAAATAAGTAATACAATTATGTGACAGTAATAATTAAAATGTTGATCACACATGGTTTCACAAATTGTGCTAAAATATTGAAGATAATAAATTGATTGTCCAGTAGATTTTACAACCTTTAATAAATATCATTGTTTGAAAATATTTATAGCTGATTTTCTTTTAATATTATGCATTAAATTTGGTATTTTTGTATTACAATAGTAAGTATTATTTCCTTAGTTTTAATTTATTTAGCAGCCTTTGAGTTAATTGCATACCTACTGCACAGGAGTATCCAAATTAAATGTTTTTATATAAATAATTAAAATAATATACACATGTCACATACGGTACAAACCAACTATAACTATAGGTACAATTACGATCAGATATAAACTTAGATATTTTGAAATATTTTATACGCGCCACTTTAATGATAAAAAATAAGTTTTTGAAATGTACTCTATTACAATTATTTGTTTTTTTTTTCTTTTTAATTATTAATCGAAATGTCTCTAACTATTACAGGATAGACGAATTCATAGATGACAACATATCAAGTAAATAATTAGTTTATTAGCATACAACGTTGTAATTTTATTTTCTCATTGCTTTCTTGATTTAATTGATTAATTTTAGAAATATGAAAGCGTAGCGGTTTTTTGTATTAATTGCCGCATGCATTCTTATGTAAAATGTGAATACTATAACTATCAGATGGCAATTGTGAGTAGCTTTGACGTGGTCTAGTGTTTTGAGTAGTCGTGCTCACTAAAATGTCCAGACTTGTGGCGGCGTGGTGGGCCGGGTCATTGGGCTCCCTAAAATATGGTCGAGCGCAGTGATGGCTGGCTCATCCGTCATACTCGTGAACGGGTGCTGCTTGTAGGGACTGGTCTGCTCTAATCACTATGACTGATTTCCTCTTATTAATTGTTTAACCAGTTGGTTATGTATTCAATATTTTTTTCTTTTTGAGTATTTAATTGAATTAGTGCTAATTGGTGGTTTGTATTCACACAATTAAACTTAAAAATGTAAAGTAATAATAAAAATATTTAAAAGAGCATCACGCAAGTTTCTTGCTCGTTCTTCTTGTGATGAGACAGCTTTCCGAACGAGCGGTAAATTAAAAAAAATGTAATGACTTTTCAAAAGTGCTTGAATGTAAGTTTATTTGAATAAATGATTTCTATTCTATTCTATTCTATTCTATTCTATTCTTGTCTATGGTATAAAAATGTAATGCGCATAAAATATATCGAAATAACTACAATATTACGAAATCTAAAGATATGCATAACTAGAAACATGTTAATAGATTCTACAACTAAATACACTTTTTACAATCCGTAGTACGACCAAGCGAAACTCCTAATTCATTTTAAATAGGTATTTTTATCTATATACCGTTTACATATTCTTCTGTTTTAAAAAAAGTACAAATTAGCTTATAGAAAAAAATAAATAATGAAACTCTATGGATTTATTTTCTGTTAACCCTTAAAAGCCTGATTTTTTAAATCAAATTAAAAAAATATATAAGTGTACCTTTTACTGTGTTTACTAACGAGGAAAAATAGTAAAAAAATCAAAACGATATTTTTATATATTTATTTTGAGAAAAAAAAAAACATTTGGTAACATGTAAACAGCCAAATATTAAAATAAAATCGATTGTAGGCGCCCAATGCGATTTATAACCCCGGTATCAAATTTGAAACTTCAGGTATTTAAGGGTTAATACTGTTAAAAATGTAAATTTTATACACTAAAGAAATGGCTGTAGATGTTAACACCTTTTGTTTTTTACAATGGCGGGAAAAACGGATAAAAAAACAAATCACTTTTGTTCATAAAAGATAAATTTTAAAAATAGTGTTAAATGTTTAAGTTATGTTACTTATTTTATTGTACTTACGCTTAAGAAGACTTCTGCATAAAGTCGAAATATTTGTCGGAAATGACAAATAGAGTAAGTTCATAAAATTCTGTTATACATATATGTATATTAAACATAGAAGACTAAACAAGCAAGACTAAGGCTGTAGCTGATTCAGTGCTTTGCTTTTAAGCAAAACTATCACTGAGCTGTAGCCTATTTGGGTCACTGCGACACACACGGTGAAAACATATTGCCATATTTCATCTTTTCTTTTATATTTAAAAAAAATGTAAATAATCTGATTGTTAATTTACGTGTGTCATAAATGGCTCAAATAAAGTGTTTATCTATCTGTCAAAAGGAGCATGACGTCTGAACGAATCTGGCCTGAAATCTATTGTACACGTATGTATTAAATTAACTAATTAGTATGTGTGTACATGTGTATAATAATTATATTTCCAAGGTTTTCTATATCAAATAGTTAATGTTTGATTTTAGACAAGATGGCGGCTGGATTATTATAAACCATAGATAGTGGAATAGTACTTACGTTGTACCATCGAAACGTGCGTCGGGTTGATTTACCATTGTTCCAGTCTGCCAGTAACTGTACTTGATCGAGCGACCATAAATAATTTTGACAGCTCAATTGTGAGTGATCACGCGTTTATATCGATGTTGATTTAAGTATAAATTTAAAAATATATCAAATTTATGTAAAAAAAATCTTGATTTATATTTTCCTGTTATTGACATTGGAAAGATTTTGCTTCAGGCCAATGCAAATGATGGTCATTTGACAATTTGTGCAACATTGTACAATTTATTGTTATTTTAGGTGTTTTATTATGACCGGATTAAAATTTATGCTGACGATTGTCTCTGATAAGAGTAACTTGAGAAGCTGAGACAAACATAAAGGAATATTTTGTACCAGGATAAAAAGTCCTTTTTCTAGACAGCCCATTTATATGATATCAATTTTTTTTTAGGTTTCGGTAAAGAAGTATTTATAAGATTAAATAGTTATGTTACTAACAATTGTCCGCTTCTCAAAGATACTTATTAACGAGATCAATACTTGTATTAAAAAAAAAAACTAATGTACTTTTTTTTAAAACAAAAGAGACTTATTGTTAGTCACTATAACTTAGTAAAGCTAGTAATACTGTACATACCTTTAGTTAGGCAACGTATTTATAATGCGACAACAGTGATGTTTACTATATTAAAAAAAAAAAAAGAAACGATGTCTCTGGACTGTACAGATAATTAAGCGTTCAATCGATAGCACGACGAAAATAAAATTACTTTGGCAAGATAAAAAAAAATGAAATTGAGAAAAATAATTAGTCAAATTAATAGAAATATCATCCTCAATTTCACGAGCTTAGTAGAAAATCTATTATAGATAAATTTATAAATTAAATATATAATGTAACCCTTAACATATTTTTACTTAATAAATGAGGTACGTTAAACCATTGTGACTATATTTGTGGAGATGAACCCTCTACAACGACCTAAACCTAAACTGTGATCATCAACACGCTTCGTACCAACTCTCGAAGTACAAAACAGAATGACACTAAATGGAAGCCATAAGAATCATGGCCGGCAGTGTCGGACTCAGTTGCTAGTTGTACTTTATAAACAATATTAACATGCGCTTTTTGAATATAAAATAACAATATACAAAAATGCATGAATTGGAACGAAATATCATTAGTCTTACAATTAAACTATTCAAATAAATAATAATCTTAGAAATGTACAATTTGTAACGAAATCCTAGGACGAGAAATTCATAGAAGGTACGTACTTACGTGATCTCTTTTTTTTTTAAATATTTGGCATAAAAATCGTTGATGTAACGTGAAAACGAACATATATGCCTACGATTTTAATTAATATTTTGTTAAATTACTCTCACCTAATCCGACTATTAAACGTTAAATTGTATGTACCTATTATGAGATTTATTACGGACAGCACTTATATTGGCAGTAACAGCAAAACAACTACATTATCAATTCACATTTTGCACGGAACAAAGACGGAATCTTACCAAACAACAAGAACACGACTTTTTAAAAACCCATCGGCTGTTCTCACGGTTCCTTCGCCTGATATTTTTAATCTGTTCGCATGATTTTGCGCGGGCTTTTTTCCAAGATGGCGGGCGTGTGCGGGCGGCTAATGACAGTTGATGGCGCGTCGCTGGAGGCGCCGTATGCGGCGGTGCCAGTCGTCGCGCCACTCCAGCAGCAAGCTGCGCTCGCCTACCGCTAGTCCCGGCAACCCCGACGCAGATCCCTCTTTTTCCACTCCTAGGATTAGGTATGACCTGATGGAAAGATGTAAATTATGTATAAAAACCATTGCTGGGAACTTGGAGAGCCCAATTTGGAAACACTGATTTGGGCTAGTTCTTAAGAATAAATTAACACTAATGCACTATAGTTCGAAATTATATATAATATAATATAAAGATTTTAGTAGATAAATTTATATTTTCTATCAATATTTTTAAATTAAGCATTTTTCTTGAGTTGGTGCAGCCTAGATGTCTTTAAAAGATATTAATAAGTCTAGAAGTTATAAGAATGTGGTGACAGTTTAGTTAAATAACGCTCGACTACGGTGCGAATGTGAAATTTGGAATAAACCTTGAAACATTGAGTTTAGAATAAATCTCTGTAATTTTCAAATTAATATACATATGTGTCTTTTAAAAATTATTGTCCTTCGCTTCGTGCTTTGGAGGACACAAAGTCGTCGTCCGGTAAGTGGCGTCTGAGGTTAGTATACAGTCATCGCAGCCTACAAACTTTGAATTATAACAGAGTGGCAATCACACACGAGTTGTAGTAGCTACTACTAATAGTATAGGGGAGAAAGGGATTGTTAGTAACGGAGACTGAGAATCCCATTGCTAGTAATATACCCAACCAGGTCGACCTCCACACGGTTCCCCTTGAAAACTATCATGGTTAATTCCTAATGAATTCATCATGATGGGCTAACTGGCCTGTTTTCATTCTCATCTATCACCCTTCACTGGTGCTCCGCCAGCGTATCCCGTTAGCGCATTATCACCATACCATTTTCACCCATCAGAAAAAAAAACTGCTAGTAAAAGTAGGAGAAGACAAGTTCAACCGGTGGCCAGCAGGTACTCACTTGTTGATCTTGAGCTTAGGGCACTTGCAGGCGAGGTCGGCGGCGCGCACGTAGAGGGCGGTGGCGCCGCGGCGCAGGCGGCTGCGCGGCGCGCGCTTGTACACCGCCTGCACGCTCAGCGCCAGCCGCACCCACGCGCCCGCCGGCCCGCCCGCCGCCGCGCTCGCCTCGCGGCCCACCACCTTGCCCATTATGACTGCAAACAGACCAGTTTTTTTAAACATGCATTTAACGGCTCTGGAATCAAGTCCTTATAAGTCAGATGCAATATTCTTAATTTGAAGTCTTTAGAGGAAGACATACAAAAGTGAACCTCTGTTCTAGCAGTATCTCTGCCATGTTTGCGTGGCTGTGTTTCGGTTTGAAGGATGGGATATGACAGTAAAATTACAGGGTACTAACACTACAGAAGCATAACACATTCGGGCAGCGGGAGAGGGACTATTAGTGATGGGGTCTCAGAGCACCATTGCTAGCAATGTGCCCTATTAGATCGATCTCCATCGTAGGGATCCTTGGAAACTATAGCAGTTAACTTTTTTTAATACCACTTATAATGGCAAACAAGTGGTCAAATAGAAAATTTATCAAAATCAATTCAATATTTTAATTTTTAAATCAAAATAACTGGTTTGAATATTGAAAATACACAATTTGTCAAAATTTAGGTTAGTTTTTTTTTTGTGAAACACAAACACTTTAAATTATAGCAGAAACACTAAGGGCTTAGTTACATTCTTTAGGAAACGAAAGAAAACAAAATGTATTGGAGAAGAACAAATATATTGGAGAAGAAGGGGGAAGAACGTACCGTAGTCTCGGCTGCAGAACTTGTTGAGATTTAGCGTTCGAGCGCCGGCGCGACACCGCCCGCACTGGTCCACTGCGCACACGCACCACACAAACAAACGGTCAAACAGAATAATAGCAGTCTCTCAGTAACATTACAATAACCAACACTTATATTGTAAAATAAACTACGTAGGAAACGAAATTAACATACATAGATTGTATACATGGAGCATCGAGTCTCAAAAACGGATTATTTTTTTATCAGCTAATTAGCCGATTTGTTTTTTTAATCAGTGTCTTTTTTTGTAACTTAGAATGGCAAACAAGCTAACGGCCCACCTGATGGGAAGTGGTGACCATCGCGTATAGACATGAGCAGTACCGTGGATTTGTTATTATTATTTTTAGCATTTACGCACATAATGTATAATGACGTATCAATATTTAATTATTTAATAAATAACCAGAGGGAGACTTTTTACAAAAATCGATTGCTTGGGTACCTCTGTCCCATTCGTGTTTCAACCGTGAAACAGTTGTGTTTGCATGGCTGTGTTTCGGTTTGAAGGGTGGGATATGGCGTGAATTTACTGGGTACAGAAGAATAACACCTGAGTTCTCAGGAATGGCAACACATGGGGGCTATTATGGGCAAAACAGTATACTCTGTTATATCCATGGTACTGCTCATGTCTATAGGCGACGGTTACCACATTCCATCAGGTGGGCCGTCAGCTTGTTTGCCATCTAAGTTGCATAAAAAAAATGAGTGTTTACGCGTTAAAAAGTTGTAAAAATTATGAAACAAAATAAATATAGAAGTTATCAAGGAATCACTCATAACTATTTATCTGCAAAATTGTATGAATAAGTTGAGCCGTTTTTCTCGAAGCATTTGTATGGAGACACTCTATGTATATAATCTAAGATTATAATATATGTCGGTGAAATATACAATATATTAAAAATATGGACATATCATATTTTATTTTTAACAAAGTAATTGTTTTATGTATATATTTTATACAAAAAGTTCCTAAAAGATCTTAAAAAACTTTTCAAATAATTATATTTTCTTTTAACTCAATTATTTGATTAATTATTATTATATTTTTATTATGTCAGCCGTTAACTGTCCATACTGTTGGACATAAGCCAAGCAAGCTTATACATAAGGGGAGTTTTGCCAGTAGTTGCCACGCTTGGCAGGCGGATTGGCAACCGCAGTTAGGCTTTTATAGATAATTTAAGAGAGACGCTGCTGCCCATCCCTCGCCCTCCCTTAGTCACCTCTTACGACACTCACGGGGAAGGAAGGGGTGGTCCATTCTGTGCTGGGACACACACGGCTGTTTTTTTTTTATTTTTATTTTATTAATACTAATATTATCAGTGTGAAAGTGAGTTTGTTTTGTTATTTCTTAGCGCCTTAACGACATAACCAATCGCTATAGAATTTGGTATACAAGTATTATATGTGATGCAGGAGAATAGAGGCTATATTTTTATATACACATCCGGTCATACGGACGAAGTGACGGCTAAAAGTTAGTATATATACTATGATATGAGATTTGAATGAATTAAATTGAGAAATACAAGGAATTTATTAAATTAAGATAGAATCTTTGATTTACGAAACACTACGTTTAAAGTAACTATATTTTTTCTGTGGTTACTCGTTAGATCTTGTTTGGAGATAACCTGAGGTCCTACTATGAAATGTGTTCCGAAATTTGCGGAACAAAAAAAACTCATTTTTGATGTTAAAAATACATGATAGGTAAACCATACCGTTTAAAAATGTTAAACATTTGTTCCTTTAAACTTTTATGGTAGGATTTATGGCAAATGAAATGTTAAGTTCCATTTACTAGGCCGAATCCGGTATGAATAAAAATACGAAATTGAGTTTGAAAATTCGGATTTTCATTTCATAGTAGGACCCCCCGATAATAGGGGGAAAAGGATTGTTAGCAATGGAGTTTGACAGCCCCATTGCTAGCAATATACCTTACTAGGTCGACCTCCACGTAGTGCCCTCTGGAAACCATCGTGAACAATTCTTGTTGAATTCGTCACGATGGGCTAACTGACCTGCTTCATCCTCACCTATCATCCTTCACTGGTGCCCCGCCGGTGTATACCGATAGCGCGGGTGGGATAACCATTCCATTATCATCCATTTAAAAAAAAAGACTGATAATGTGATTTTTAGTACAACAGACTTTCTCCTTATTTATTAAACCTCTCTGCATAAGATTAATTATACGCTTGTTTGCTATTTTTATGTTTTAAAACTAATATGAAATCTTTGATAATTTAAAAAAAATACTGTTTAAATAATAACAAAACCATTTACCTCCCATTCGGCACTGAGAAATTAAAACAAACAGAAAAATATAATGAGATTTACAATGAAGATGATGGAATAAGCGTTAGTAAAACAAAAAAGAGTTTCTTTGATGATTCTAGAGAAACAAATAAAATATCAAAATATTCAAATGAGTATTGTTATAGCATGATTTTATGATTTCAATGACCAACCGAATAATACAACTTATTAATTACTACCGATTAGACCTAACTTCGCACGAGTGGGGGGAAAGGGATTGTTAGTAATGGAGACTGAGAATCCCATTGCTAGCAATATACCCAACCAGGTAGACCTCCACGCGGTTCCCCCTGGAAACTATCATGGTTAATTCCTGATGAATTCATCATGATGGGCTAACTGGCCTGTTTTCATTCTCATCTATCACCCTTCACTGGTGCTCCGCCAGCGTATCCCGTTAACGCAGGCGGGGTCACCATACCATTTTCACCCATCAAAAAAAACTTCACACGAGTAGACAGAATTGTCGATAATCAATACATATAATAAAAAAAAGTTTCAGCAAATTCAACTGATCTGTCGTTTTATAGCATTTTACATGTGATTCTTTAGATTGATATAACTTTTTTATTTATGAACCGATTGAAATATAACAAACACTAAATGTTAAGTAGGGAAAACCTCATTCGAATCGGTTACACAGTTTCTGAGATTAAGGTGTACAAACGTACAGACAAACTGATAAAAAATATAAAAATCATTGTTTTGGGTGCTACTGCATTCATAAAGCCCTCTTATAATAGTTTTTCTTATATATCTTCCATGTATAGACAGCGGCCAGTTACGATTTTATTATACGTATTGATTGCCTTTAATTAATTCGACTAGGAACACAAAAATAAATAATAGTTAACGAAACTACCAATTCTTCGAACTTAAGTAAATACCTGTAAATTCTAACAGTAGAATACTAAAAAAGAGTATTCGTGTACATCGAACTGTAATTAGATTGTATATAAATGAAAGTCTTATTTGTCGGTCGGTCTGCTAGCTCCAGACTGTTCCACAATTCGTGGAGAAATTAGATTGGGGCTATAACCTGTTGACACGCGTTTCATGTCAGTTTTGCATTTATAATGTAATTGTTTCAATTTTATAGGACAGATTGTTACAGGACAGAAAATTCGATAGCAACCCTAGTGACAAGGGCTATCAATTTTTATTTTATGAGATTTGTCTATTACTGGTGAGAGAAATTTTGTCTACAGCTTAGATTATTATTGACTAGATAGAGTACTCTATAATGCATACAATTGAGGTAATCCTCAGGAAGGCATAGACAAATCAATTCTTTTTTTTTTTCAAAATGGCGTTGCTTTAAAATTGTTATTAATTTTAAAATTGGTGTATTTTATCACACTAGTCATCATTTTACTTATTAATATTTGATGCAATTGTGTTCTATTTTTAAACTTTCGAACGCCTTGACAAAAGAATCAAACGTCGACTGACTGTTTTTTTTGGGATATTTTTAATACTTAATTTACAACAAATATTATGACACATGCCTTGAAATATAAATAAAAGTAAAGTGCAAATTATAAAAACACGATAATGCCTGTAAGTACATTGAATGAGTTGACGCAGAAAACAAAAATAATTGATTTTAATAAAAGAATACTTACAGCCACTTTTACAATGACCTCTCAAACACGCTTTGATAGTAAATTTTAAAGTGCGAATAATAGGCGCTTAAAACATTAAATTTTAAGAGTAAACAATTTAAAGCGAAAAAGTGGAGTAAAAATTTTTAAATATACATACTATATTGATAAGCCGAGAGAAAAAAAAAATTAGCAAATATTTTTAATTAGTATTAAAAAGAGGAATCGCAGCTAATTTAAGTATAGTTTATTTTCTTGGAATCAAAGAGGCAAAGGCATCACGCCATTTAGCTTAAAAAGTTTACTAATTTGGAAATGGAAATATATTAATTTTGTGTTTTTTTTTTTATATAGCAGTCTAAGAAACTCTGGTAGTTTTAGCGTGTTTGAGAGATGGTTTCCATTTGGTTGCGGTGTGGTTGTGAGGCGAGAGTGCAATGAAGGTCCACTTACTACTTACCGCGGCCCGGCTCGCCGTCCACCGCTTCCATTGCTTGCACAGCTGTCACCACGCGCGGTATACCTGAGCACACGCATTGATAAATTAAAAAAAAACTCGATTTCTTTTTTTGTATATTTTTTTATATAGATTAAAACCACTAGCCATTAGGCTCGAGTCACTTCGAACAAAATAACTTTGTATATGATATATGTAACTAATTCATTGAAAATTTTACATAAAGCTATATTTTTTGGAATACTTATTACTTATCTACATCAATATTTTGGACGGAGACATATAACATATAATATTTATATGTTATATGTATATATAAGAATATTTATTTATTTAATTGTATTGATTCTTTTAAGTTGTTACATAGATTCATTTTTCAATTTCAATAAAATAAGAGCAATGACAACTCTTAAATAACGTAGTACGGTGGAAAAATCATTGGATCCAATAACATTTACAGATTTTGCAATGTCTGCATATGTGATCTTAAAAACATATGTTTAAAATAGAATAAGAGTCTGAGGGGATTTGATGTCATTGGATTTTATATGATGTTACACTAGTTAACATCACATAAAATCAATAACATACTTACATATATAACATTACTACTACCCTAATTGTGATTGACGTCGGTTAAAAAGATTTTCATTGATTCAACGTAGTGATCGTTGAATGTACAAAATGGCGATCGAAAAAGGCGGAAACGTTAAACATGGCGATATTCTGAAGAATAAAACTAAAATTAAAATACTTGACGCTGGTAGAAATGGTCGTAAATGTAAAGACCGATTGCCGTAGCAGAAAAGAAAATGAGACTGAGGTATTTTATAATAAATAATTTATATGTCGTAAACATACCTATGCTATAAGTTATAACATAAATTACTTAATTTTATTTAATTATTATCGCTTTATTTGTTTTTTTTTCTGTTTAATTCATTTAATTTATTTACCTGAAACATGGGTACAATAAATTATTTTAAATTCTGTACTTAAGTATGTATAGAGTCTCTCAGTTGATACTCACGTATGCAGGGCGCGATGTGACTCCTCGATTGCTGGAAGCCTTTAGCGCACCGGTTGCAGGTGGTACCTGTGACGCCGTCCTTGCACGGGCACTGGCCACTCGTTTGGTTACAGGTCTTCCCACTCGCTCCCACCGGGTGGCAGTCGCATGCTAAGAAAAGGGACAACAATATATTTACATGAAACCATAATTGAAACGACATTTGAAAAAGTTATTTTTACCCGCTAACAATTTAAAAAAATTGACTCAAATTACTTGTATTAAAAAAAAAATGGAAAAGATGGTAAAGAAAGAAGAAGAAAAGCTCGTGTTTTTAATTACACACTCTTTATTGTTTATATGGTGAAAACAAGGTGTCATACCTTGTAAGTATTAATATCTAAGGAGTGTTTTTATAGTATGTAGTACCAAAGTAGGGAACTAACTCCCAGCAGTAGTATTTCTGAATAGACACGACATTATAACCTTTAAGAAAAGAGCATATTCCTTCAGAACGGGCTAGCAACACAGCTGCATTTTTCTGATGTTACTAGTGTCTTTTTTTTACAACTTAGAACGGCAAACACGCTGACGGCCCACCTGATGGAAAGTGGTAACCGTCGCCTATAGACATGAGCAGTACCATGGACATAACAGAGTATTCTGTTTCGCCCATGATACCCCCCACGCGTTGCCATTCCTGAGGACTCAGGTGTTATTCCTCTGTACCTAGTAAATTCACGCCATATCTCACCCTTCAAACCGAAACACAGCCATGCAAACACAGCTGCTTCACGGTTGAAACACGAATGAGACACAGGTACCCAAGCAATCGACTTTTGTACAAAGTCTCTCTCTGGTAAATCTGGTTTATGGGTGAAGATAATCACTTTGACTTTGAGGACACTTTGAAGATAGTTTCTTCAGGGTCGGTAAAACGCGCGTAATGAAACCTGGTATTGCAGGCGTTCATAGGCTACGGTAACCGCTTATCATCAGGTGGACCGTAGATTTGTTTGCCACCTCAGTGGTATAAAAAACATGGTAATTTAGTGCTCGCTTGACCTTTAGTTTGCCCTCTACGTTATAAAAAAAACCTACATTTTTTTATTTTAATTTATCTTTCTTTACAAGTTTAAATGATAAATAAGTTCTTTTTATTCTCTTCCATTATATTGGCAACATTCGCTTCCTTATCTCTACCTTATTATGTCTGGCCGAAAATAGCTGTTTCTCAATCAAGGCGTCAGCAAACACGTTCCCTGTAATAGCGTAGCTCCCAAAGGGCCAATTTTGTCCCGATCGGCTGCACTCGATTCCGGGACAATTTTTATGGGCAAACTATCCGGGTGATCCGCACCCCGGGAAATGGACCGCAGTTGATTATCCGTTTGTTCGCCTTTATGGGGTTACGGACTTTTGTTTTTTTCTCTTTTCACATTTTCCAATATTGCTTTTGTCTATGTACCTAACCTCTGTAAGTGGTCGTTGGCGGGAAATGAAACCGGTTCGATAATATTGTTTAGATTAAGAAGCGTATTTGTGTAACAAAAATACTATAACAAGGTATCGACAAAAATGAAGTTACAATTTGATTTTAGCAATATTTGTATTTGATTTAATTTTAATTTTCTGATTTCTATCAAAACTACCTTTCGATTCTCGAATTTCTAAAATTACCATGTAATATCTATGACTTGTATTATAAAGTATGAAGTTATACAATATCTATGGTTTTAGTTAATTCTTTTTTTTTCTAAACATATTAAACAGTATAAAATATATCTGTTTTTATAAAATCCACATAACCACACAAAATGCCATTTAAAGTATTGAATCTCTCTATACACAATTTACAATAAGATTAATTACAGGCTCGATTCAAGCCGTCGCTTGACCGTCTACGAAGTCCATAACATATTGGCACCATCGTCAAACGATGCCACGATACCAGATGTCTTCAGAATAAAGTATTAACAACGCTTGACTTCCGTCAAATGGAGCATGAAATAAACGAACCCTCCCATACATGGCCCATAAAGCGTGTACGGTGTGAAGTTTCAGCTTACTGTTTATTTGATCGCGTCTGTACAGGTGTAAAACTTTTACGGCCCCCTTTATTTATTTTATCTGTGCACGGCGCCGGACCATGTATTTTTAACTTGGTCCAATAGATAACACTACTCCATGGAGCCGTTAGGGTTTTCCATCAAGTTACACCATTTATTTATTAAGGTTCGCCTATAACTTTTTAAATTTTAGGCCATCTTTAATTGATAACATAAAAATGTTATTAAATTATTTAAACAATAGTATGTAAACTGTTTAAAAACTACAGCATGGGGTTCTTCAAAAGGGGTAAAAAGGTTTCTTCAGGGTCAGCAACGGGCGCGTAATACCCTTGATATTGCAGACGTTTATAATCTACGGTAATAGCTTACCATCAGGTGGGCCGTAATCTTGTTTGCCACCTCAGTGGTATAAAAAAGAACTTTTATTTAGAATTTTCTTCTTTCATTAATTTTTAAAATAGAATAAAATAGAAAATATTTTTAAAGAAAAAAATTCAACAACTCTTATTTATGACTTTTTTTTTAAATTATCTGAAATAGTGATTACTAATTTATTTTGCGCAATTTATAAACTTTTCAGGTATTTTTTATACAACTTAGAATGGCAATCAAGCTAACGGCCCACCTGATGGAAAGTGGTAACCGTCGCCTATAGACATGAGCAGTATCATGGACATGATATCCCCCATGCGTTGCCATTCCTGAGGACTCAGGTGTTATTCCTCTGTACCCAGTAAATTCACGCCATATCCCACCCTTCAAACCGAAACACAGCCATGCAAACACAACTGCTTCACGGTAGAAACACGAATGGGACAGAGGTACCCACGTAAAAGACTTTTGTACAAAGTCTCCCTCTGGTAAGCATAATGACTGGCAATGAAAGAAATGGAAAATTTATTTATGACGAAAGGCATTGGAAAAGGCCATAGCTCTAAAGACTTACAGAGAGTAGGGGATAAATACTGACTCAAATGCTAATGTAGATACTCACGTTTGCACGCCTTTTTATGGGTGATCGGCTTCGTGGGGTCCCTGTAGTACCCCTCGCGGCAGTAGTGGCAGTGTCTACCGGCCGTGTAGTGTCGACACTTGAGACACACTCCCCCGCTGGCCCGTCCCGACAGCTTGTACAGTTCCATGTTGAAACGGCAGCGGCGGGCGTGCCCGTTGCAGTTGCATTCTGTAAAGATAATTTACAAATTAATATTTTATAAACTTATTAACAGAGTTTATAATATTATTTGAGCATCTAGCGCTCGCGTTCGCGTCATAACCGCTCATGATTAAGGATTACGAATTGATTCCGAAACTAGTCGTGTTTTCTCGACACGTAACCAGAGGGAGACTGTACAAAAGTCGGTTGCTTGGATACCTCTGTCCTATTCGTGTTTCTACCGTGAAGCAGTTGTGTTTGCATGGCTATGTTTCGGTTTGAAGGGTGGGATATAGCAGTGAATTTACAGGGTACATAGGAATAACATCTGAGTCCTCAGAAATGGCAACGCATTTACCCCCCATGCAAAACAGTACACTTTGTTGAGTTCATGGTACTGCTCATATCTATAGGCGACGGTTACCACTTTCCATCAGGTGGGCCGTCAGCTTGTTTGCCAATCTAAGTTGCATAAAAAATATATGATCTTGGCTCGAGAAACGACTAAATTGACCAATATTTCATTGATTACCTAATGTCCTATCAAATTCAATAAAACCAAGCATAGTCAACAAGTTCTGGTAAGTGTTAGCTATCATATTTTTTACGAATGCTTTTATAAGAAATATATATATATATATATATATATATATATATATATATATATATATATATATATATATATATATATATATATATATATATATATATATATATATATATATAAAATGAGTCGTGCTGCTGGATCTGCTTATGGGTATGGTGGCTTTAGTTGTTAGTTGTTGTGTAGACTTGAAATGAGACGAAAACTAAATTTAATTAAGTATGTGTTAAAAATAGTGTGGGGGGAAAAATGTAAGCAAACTGTACTGGAGTCAATATCAATAGGAGCGCCCAGTAACTACGTGCGAGCACGTCGACGGCACTTATTCGATGTTCCATTACGAAGAACAGAGTTGGCTAAGCAAGCTCCCCTATCTCTTGCATTGAAACTACTCAATGATATTTTGAGCCAGTATCCGCAATTGGATGTATTTGCCTCCAACTTGCTGGAGTTTCGTCGAGTGACCATAGAGTATTTGTGTTCAGACGTTTTTTGTTTCAGTTAAATCTTTTTATATTATTTTTGTTATTTTGTGAAATATTCCTTTTTATACGTTATTGTAACCATGCTTTCCTGGGTGAGCGTATTGGAAGACTGTAAGGCTTACCCAGAGGATGTAATAAATAAATAAATAATAGTTGTAAGCTACATATATTTCTCCGTACTTTTTGATATAAATGTATCAATATACGTTTTGTTTGCCTATAAAAAACTGTTACACTTAGTTCTAAGCTCCATAATTGTTATATATATTTACATTATTTTGTGGAAAATTGTTGGAGAATCTAAATTAATAAATATTTCCAGTAAATAAATTAGTATTAGAAAGCCGTAGCTGCGATGTTATAACAAGCAATGACATATAGTGCTATTAGCTGGCCCCCGAGACTCGTGCAAGCTGAATGTTGAGCTATTAATATTGCAGAACTAACGTCGGCTCACCGTTCACTTGACAAATAGGTTTATTTATACATATTTATATTGAAATCATATATATTTTAGATGGTACAGTGAATAGATTTGATAAGGTAAAGTGATACCTAAATAAACTACGTATAGTATTTTTTTTTAATGGGTGATAATGGAATGGTAACCCCATGGTAATGGTAAATGGTAAAGTCAAGGATGATAGATGAGGATGAAGTAAGTCAGTTAGCCCATCGTGACGAATTCAACAAGGGGGGGTTTCCAGGGGGGACCACGTGGAGGTCGAACTAATAAGGCATATTGCTAGCGATGGGGCTGTCAAACTCCATTGCTAACAATCCCTTTTCCCCCAGTATATACTTATTTATCATGTTTTTGAATACTTAAAACTATTTTTATTTATTAAGATATTCCCAAATAGAAGATATGATTAATATTGTATTCCACAAAAAAGCGAGTTCAATTATGGCATATGCCTCTCTTAAAACGTCTCCAAAGACTAATTGCGGTTGCTAACCCGCCTGCCAAGCGTGGCAACTACTGGCAAACCTCCCCAAGGCGGAGGCTCATGTCCAGCAGTGGACAGTTAAAGGCTGCTATGACGATATGAACAGTCTTGAGAACTGAAAACATGTAGTAGGTATAATAGATACGTACTTAATTCACATATTTTACTACTTTTTGCTTCAATTGTAAGTATTTTTCTACCTTATTTTCTTTTATCTGCTTTTCTAATTTATTTATTTATATTGTATTATTTTTAAATAGTACATAAAGGAGTGAATAAATTAATAAATATAACAAATAAACACAATACCAAAACATACCTACTTTAAATACAGATAATACCATAACAACGAAACCAAAATTACGTAACTCTAACATCAGCTCCGTGACATGTACTCTTCAACAGTAACTTGCGGCATAGACAAAGAATACTCCGCCTGGCCAGCATATGCGCAGGCGCCGCCCACCCCACATAAACCTGTCAACGACATGATCTGTTGCTGAAAACGTATCAAAACTAACGCTTCACAGATGGCCGCCTTTAAAAATTATAACGGTTCCTTTATAGTTACGTCTCACCCAGTAAACGTTTCAGTACTACATGATTTAGTGTTTTATGAATGAGATTTGTTTTATAATATGCGTTTTTACCCTCCCAAATAGGGGGAATGTGGTTATGGGGTCTAAAAGCCCTATTGCTAGACATATATATTTCCCCAGGGGACCATCGTGAGTAATTCTTATGGAAATCGTCACTATGAACTACCTAACTGATTTACCTGGGTGGAAAGGGATTGTTAGTAATGTAGACTGAGAATCCCATTGCTAGCAATATACCCAACCAGGTCGACCTCCACGCGGTTCCCCCTGGAAACTATCATGGTTAATTCCTGATGAATTCATCATGATGGGCTAACTGGCCTGTTTTCATTCTCATCTATCACCCTTCACTGATGCTCTGCCAGCGTATCCCGTCAGCGCAGGCGGGGTTACCATACCATTTTCATCCAACAAAACAAAATATGTTGGTTATCTTAATAAATTTTATACTTATAATAGAAGGAAAATAATACACTTATATTTTTTGTTTGTGAAGGCAATAGTTGAGTTTATTGCCCTATTTTCCTTTGGGCTGTAACTACTTTCTGGAAAAGGCGGGAGAATTTAATGTCGCATCATAAAGAAAAATATTTATAGGCTAGAATTTCCCAGAATACAAACTACTGTACTTATACAACTATATCGTTATATTTATTAATTGTCTTTGCTTATGTCCTATATTGTATATTTCAAATAACCCTTTCAGACCTGAACGATACGGGCGTGAGTTGTAACTTTAAAAAATTCTAAAATCGCGCGCAATTCATTTTTACGCACGAAGCTGAAATAACATGATAGTGAGATTCTAAACCAGCCAAAAAGAAATCATTTTAGCGGTTAGGTGGTGCAGTAGTCTCGTGCGTGCCGGCTAGATGGCTTGGCTCCAAAACACGAAAATATATTTAATCTGAAAGAGAAAAAATCTTGGGTCTGAAAGGGATAAAGTATACTCATTCATTCATTCATACAATTGAGTATGACTACTTAGGTATTGTTGTGGGTAGTGTACTTATTACTATGTCGATGGTACTTGGATGAATAAAGAAGTTGCCATCGTGACCTCGCGTTTACTTTACACAACATGGTGGCAGCGGTGGGATATAGAACTTGCTTCATAAAATTGTCATCCAAAGTAAATTTAAGTTTCTTAATACACATTATATTTTAATATAATAATTATCGGTTTAAGCTCGACTAGTTTGGAGATCAATTCGTGAACCTTAATCATGAGCGGCTGTGACACGAGCACACATATATATACTGGTCCTACATAAGTATATAAATCGACTAATTCAATTTATGCTTCGATTTGTTACAAATTTCATTTGGAGAATATTCATTTGGAGAATATTTCCGTGATAATTTTGACAAAACTTCCATATATTTTAAAACTTTTTTATAAGTGTAATGTAAAGTTTTTTTTTTTACAACACAGGGGGCAAACGAGCATGCGGCTCACCTGATGGTAAGTGACTACCGCCGCCCATGATCACCCACAACACCAGAAAGTATCAATAAAGTACTTAAAGTATCAATTATAAAATATTTCTGTGGTAAATCTATCTATTATGTACATACCTTGCATCTAAGTACTATAAATATTAATAACAAGTAATGAAACTGTATATAGTTTAAAAAAAAAGGTAATGCATATTCTTGAAAGTAAGTTAATTCTATTATATAATTCACAAGTGAATACACAAGGAAAATTTCGATCATGCAAAATGTCATCTATCTGTCAATCAATAGAATGTATGGGTAGAGATATAAGGTTTCTAAGTAATTGACTTTCAAGTATAATTGGAATTTATAGCATAGAAAACCACGTGGTGACACGTAATAAATTTTACATAATGTAATTTGTTATTGTACAACTCCGGAGGAAAGGTTCGTTGTACTCGTATGTATTATGTTTTCAAAAAACTAAAATCCCATTCGCTGCATCTATTTGGTGCGCTCAAACTATCACTAGCTTCAAAACCTCTGTAAAGTTCTTCTATCTCCCTCTTAAGTACTTTTTTTTATGCGTTTTTCTTCATCTATCTCCGTCATTCTCTCCTGTTGTATCATGTGCTTTTTTTTTATACAACATAGAATGGCAAACAAGCTGACGGCCCACCAGATGGAAAGTGGTAACCATCGCCTATAGACATGAGCAGTACCATGGACATAACAGAGTATACTGTTTCGCCCACGATACCCCCCATGCGTTGCTATTCCTGAGGACTCAGGTGTTATTCCTGTGTACCCTGTACATTCACGCTATATCCCACCCTTCAAACCGAAACACAGCCATGCAAATAATTGCTTTACGGTTGTAACACGAATGGGACAGAGGTACCCAAGCAATCGACTTTTGTACAAAGTCTCCCTCTGGTATTAAGTATGT